CACTGTGAGGAAAATAACCTCATCTCACCCATGTCATATATATTCCAGTTTTGTTCCAGAAGCCAGGATCCATCTGCACATTTGAAAGATGACTGTAGAGCAACTGCTTCCCCTCGCTGGAAACAGGGTTTGCGTTTGCCACAAGCTTCAGGACTTCAAGATAGTATTTAAAATCAAAGCCCAGATAGCATGAAACATTGCAAAGGTGCAAAGAAAAAAGGCTTTGTGCTAAATCTAGGGATCAGATTCAGTGTCAGCAAGTAAGAGGAAAGTTGCAGGAGGAACATGTTTTTTGCTTGCCCCAAGATAATATTTTTGATTCCTGTGCAGCTGGTAAGTTAGTGCTCTGCCGAAAGTCTTTGTTGGGCGAGAAATGTGTGAAAGCTGCTGGGAAACAGCTCCATTTCTATTTGATGCTCATAATTCATGCAGCAAGAGGATTTTGCTGGCAGTGTTTTTTGGTAGAGAAGCAAATAAGAATGATAGCTGAAGTGACTTGGGGATTACTCGGCATTGTATTAATGCCAGTAGTTCAGATTGGTCTGGGGCAGTGGTGACCTTGTACTGCTGAAGGGCCATTGAGGGACTGGAGGAGTATGGTAGGTTCCAAACTGGTCAATCTATAGACCCTGTCGTAGGAAAACCAGGCATGGGTGCTCTTCAGTGTATGGGCTATGGGTACAAGAGAACTAAAATCATTTGCATTAGCCTCTAATTCAGAAATTTTTCACTTATTTTTGATTTGCTTTTCCTGGGGACAGGGAAGGGCTGAGCTCATTCTTTAGGCTTTGTGTTTTGCAGTAGATCTTGTGTGAAACATAAATCTGGCATGGTCTGTTTAATAATACTGTGGCAGGTTTTTAGACTGCCTCTTGCTCAGAACAGACATGCATAGGTATCAATTTCAGACCATGGTGCCCTTGAGTATCGAACCTGTGGCTCTCTCTAACATGTCTGCAGAGAGCCTTTATTTATTCTCCTTTTGCTGCTTCGATTTTTGCATTCAGTAGAATATCGTGTTGCAGTGACATTTTACCTGACTATAACAAATGCTTTCTCCCTATTTTTAAAACACTGATTTGAAACGATGGGAACTCAGAAGTTGCTGAGGTGAACGTTCAGTGGAGTCGTTATCTGCAAGTCTGAAATGCTGGCAAAGGGATGTCATGAATAGCTTGCTGCTCCTTTAGGAGGAAATTGTAGATCAAAGGATCTGTTCCTGATTTGCCCACCATTACTGCATATGCATAGAAAGGCTGTAGGTTATGTCTTTCTGATAGACGTAATTATATACGTCCATCTGAATGACATAGTAAAAATCATCAGCATATTAAGACATGATGTTGCTGTTAGTGGTGTTTGCAGCCTGACGAACAGCGAACAGCTCGTGGCGGTAAGGTTTTCAGGTGAACGCTGCACCTCAGGTGTTTGTCTTCAGTTGGGCATTTTTACTGAGTTAGGATTGTTCTCAAAACCTTGAGAAAAAATACACTCTTCATGAAATGGTTAAAAACCAGCTTTCTGCACGTACGACATTGCTTGAACAGTTTCGCATCTCTGCCTCCTCTCCCTGTCAATAACGTGTTTGATCAACCTTAGAACAAGTGTTTGATATCAGTCTTTACATTTGAAATGAGATTCCTTCCTTTAAAAGTTTGTCCTAGCTATTTGATCACTGTGGATGAAAACAGATAGCTTTTACAAAGACATTTAGACTTCTTACACAGAACTGTTGAGGAGAAGTGAGCAGAGGAATAGGACTGAGCCTGTGGTTAAAACCAGCTCTAATTGCAGCTGTTCAGCACTGAGACTTTACCCTAAATAACTGTCTGTCAGGAGGTGCTCTGTCCTTGTCCTTCTTATTTTGCTTCTGGCATTTCTCTAAGAGAATAATGTCAGTATCCCAGGAGTCTGCCACTGCAGAGACAGATATGCTGGAGTTTAAAAACTTCATTTCTGGGAGTGAGTCTGTCTGTGGCATGGGTTTACAGTGAAGTGTCATGCAGTGAAGTGAAGCAAAGGCCATCAGGTATAAGCAGTTCTCTTTTTTTTTGTGCCTTTAAAGATGCATGTGCAGGTGGAAGGACAAACTGAGCACCAGCCCATCTGGGTCCCAGGGCTCATGTTGTTTGCACAGTGAGAGCAGAGGGCTGAGCATCCTCTGCAGCTGCGTGGGCTCTGGCTCTCATTAGTCATTGGACGCTTGTCAGTCTCTCATCAGCTCATCTCTGGTGAACAGTCACATTCTAGACCTTTACTAGTGTTGCCCTTTGGCTTTTCTTCCTCTCTCAGGGGTAGCATGGCGTTCCCGGCCACACTGACATTATTCCCGATGAAAACTCTGTAATTAATTCATCCTCATAAGCACACAGCATTGCACGATGTTTTTCTGTGCTCTTAGATTTTTCATTGCATCGACTCTCCTCACTTCCTTCTCCCATTATCCCCGTTCTGTTTAACCTGTCATCAGTCTCCTTAAGCAGCTGTAAGGAGTACATCGTCTCCTTAAGATGCAGTACTTTGTTCTGCATCACCCACTGTGCAGGTAACCCACAGCTCGATGTGTTCATATTGATATATATCTGTAGGCTTTTGCCCACTCCAGACTTAGCTGTACTCTAAGCATCTTCCATACTGTTTGCCATCTGTCCTGACAAACATAGTCCCAGGAGTTGTCAAAACCATTGCATCCCTTGGCAGGTAGTTGCTTACAGTTAGCAGAAAGACTTTGTGTGTCATTATTGATGAAGGATGCCCTGGGATGCTAAATCATGTTCCAGTACATTAATAGGGAAAGACCATCACTGCAAATCTGCTCTGCCCTCTGGTCTGCCAACTCTGGCAATTTTTTTCTGCCTGTAGGCAGCACCCAGCACTTTAGGAGGGTGTTGGAGAAGGTTCAAAGGGCATCCATGGAAGGTTACAGCCCTAGGAGAATTTCTGACATCTCGTAGTTGGTTTAAGCCATGAGCAAGGTCTATTAGATCTATTCCCAAACTCAGTAGTCTAGCACTGGGTACTGTGGAAGACATGGCAGCCATTTTTTTCCACTATAGCTGCTTAGTGTATGTGTTCAGTACTTGAATTAATGTTTTCTATTCTGCATTTTTATTTGACTGTTCAATTCCTTGGACTGTGAGGAAGGGAAATGTTGAATAATTACCTGCTCCATAATAAATTAGTGTGAAAAGGCAACTGGTGCCATGCATCAACTTAAACTGCTGTCTAGTAAAGTTGCATTAATGTGTTTAAATAATGTATAGCTTTGTGGAGGAAGTGCTTTGTCTTTCTAATGAACAGTTGCCTGATTGGAGAGACCCAAAGACTGTGTACCCTTGCAGGAAAGGTTTTGCTCTGTGTGTGCCTGGATTATTAATGTGGATTTGTGATCCTGTAACTGCAACCAGGAAATACCTCATTTAGCAGAATATGCTGAAAAATTTCAAATGACCTTGTGAGATATCTGCTAGCAGATGACTTTGTGGTTTGGGGACTGGGATCTCTTCCAGTAAAAGGAATAAGGATCAGGATTTCCATATTTTAGTGTTTCTATACATTGTAAGGACTGATGTAAACTGCCATTAAATAGCCAGTAATTCAGTTATTGCCTTAGAACAGGCATCAAGCATTTTGTTGTGTTTTTTGATTCAGAAATAGCTTGAAGAATAACTGCAGTAGCTGACTAATTTAAGAGCTAAACCAGGACAGCAGCATCGCTTGCATTTAGCTGAAGTAAAGATAAGTCACTCAATTACATCATTTGTTGAAAGTCTAAAAATTGACACTTCTTTGTTCCCCAAAAGCCCTCCTGTGTTTCTGGGAATCACGTGGCCTTGGATGGGAACAGGACTGCTGCCTGGGTGAACATCTGAAGCGCTTCCAGTGTCTGTACTTCTTAGCATTATCCTAAGATCTTGTGTGTTCCACAGGTTATACTGTTATGTAAAGGGTGTAGCTGTGGAGATCCTAGACTGGCCCAGGTCATGCTTGGCATCTCTAATCTCAGAATAAAACTTCCTGTGCCAGTTCTCACCAAACTGGCACACACAAGAGAGCCAATTAAACAAAGGGCAGGCAGATAGGGAATTCAGTGAAGGGAAGCTTGTCTGCACGAGCCTGACATCTCCACGTGTACCATGAAATACAAATTGTACTTGCATACTGTATCAGTATGAGGCTGACCCAAACTGACCTGTTCTGTGTGTTCTGGGGTTCCTCACCATGGTTGAGGTTCAGACAGATTGTGCATAAATGCAACTTAAGTGAATGATTTTTTTAATTCCTGTTCACCTACAAGAAAGCTAGAGAGAGACTTTTGACAAGGGCAGGTAGTGACAGGACAAGGGGAAATGGCTTTAAACTGACAGAGAGGAGATTTAGATTAGACATCAGAAGAAGTTTTTCTCCATGAGGGTGCTGAGGTGCTGGCACAGGGTGCCCAGAGAAGCTGTGGCTGCCCCATCCCTGGCAGTGTTCAAGGCCAGGTTGAACACAGGGGCTTGGAGCAACCTGCTCCAGTGGAAGGTGTCCCTGCCTGTGGCAGGCGGTTGGAACTGGATGATCGTAAGATCTCTTCCAACCCAAACCATTCTGTGATTCTATGATTCTGTATCCTTTTGTCACTTGCCAGAAGGAAGTTTAGTAGAAAGGGGAGGGGGAGAGAACTTTGCTTCTGTTCCACCTCAAGGAGCATTTCTGTTGTAAGCCTGCAAAATGAAGTGTTAGAAAAGCAACTAATGTGGGACACATTTCCCTGGGTTTGTACACTCTCACTGTCACTAAACAGAGCATGTAATGTGCCTGTAAAATGAGCAAGGGCAGCCCAGAATCCTGAGGCTCATGCCAGTCTCATTGAGGGCAGCAGTCTGGAGCAGAACTGTTCCCCCTTCTTCTACTGGAAGATGTGTTGTGACCATCAGCTGGGCAGCAGAATCTCCATAGATGTGTGGACGGTGGCTGCAGTGATGCTGATGTCTGTTCTTCTTTTGTCTCCCTGCTAGCTGAAGACTTGGAGTGTTGATGAACTTCAGAGGAGGCTCTCAGCCCTGGACCCCATGATGGAGCAGGAGATTGAAGAGATTCGCCAGAAGTACCAGTCGAAGCGGCAGCCGATCCTTGACGCCATTGAAGCCAAGAAGCGGCGGCAGCAGAACTTCTGAGCCACCAGTAGAATATTCCTCCATCCTCAAACAATCAGCCTCTTGCTTTTATGACTACTAAACAGATTGATTTCTATTGAAATACGCTAGCAAAAAATAGAGGGCAATACTTCTGCTCATTTATTTTTCCATAGCACCTTTTGTGAACTCAGGAATGCCATTAAGTGGAAAATCCTGATGGTATGTTTTAATGTTAGACATATATTTAAAACATTATTCCGAAGGAGTTTTGTTACTGTTTTTAGGGGGGGTTGTTTTTAAATGGGAGGAACAGGTAGAAATAGGCTAATGGAAGTTGGCTCGCTCTCTTTTCAGCTGAACTTTCAGTAGTCCATTCTGGTTTTAAGTTAATATGGATTGTGGTATTTAACGGCTGCATCTTTTGTGGGGGTTTTGTTTGGTTGTTTTTCTTTGTGAATGCACAGACTCAATTTCAAGCTCTTAGCTGTAACTTTCTACTGTTAAGGTACTGATGAGTTTTAGGTCACCGGAGAGAGCGGGTGAGAACACGTTCAAACTGTTCCAGCCTTTTGAAAGAAACTGAAATCTCATTTTAAAAGCCTGTAATAAGCCCCATGCCTTACACTGTGTGCTTTAAGCAAGTGTGGTTTCTTCAAGACCTCAGTTTTGTCCTCTTTTTGTGTACATTATGAATTGATACGAGTAGATAAAGCATGTTGTGCCTCCATCAGAAATTGCATTCTGCAATTTAAAATCCACACCGACTTAAAACCAAAAGCCAGTTGGTGATCTCATTCCCCCTCATCTGTCTGCTTGGAAATGTCCTTCAGGGAGACCCTGCTGACGGTGGAGTGTTGGGAAAAGGAAGCAGTATTGGAATGGGTGGAAGTTGTGTGAACCTCTCTCAGGAATTAGGTACTTCTGCTGTGTCTGAGAGGACTTAAAAATCTCCACAGTTTGTGAAACGTTTTGTAGGCTTCATTTTGGATTTACATCTTTAGGTGCTGGAATAAAAACTTAATTTCACAATCCTTCACATTTCTGCAGGGTTTAGCACATCAGAAAAGTTGAACTGGAAGTGAAGACTTTGTTGAATTAACAAAGATGTGCATTTATGGTGGTGGAGAGAAGGCGGAGTTGATCTGGATGAGAAGACAATTACTGATGCCCTACTGGGAGAGATTGTATCTCTTATCTTCCAGTTCCTCTGGACGATCTTGTGTTCTTTCTTCAAATTTCCCTGATGTTCCTGCCTGGTATAGCTCAATCAGTGAACATGCCCCAGCGTGTACAATCGCTGTGAGGGTGGTGCAATTAACTCACACCAGAAGAGTGGAGAGTGAAATGGAAGAAGCAAAGAACATCGTCGCAGGGCAGAGACCAAGTGGTGCCTCTGCCCCGTGGGCTGTAACACAGAGGTGTGTAGGTTTAGCTGTATTTAGCCTATGATGAAATATTTGGACAGAGCAAGTATTTCTACTGATTTATTTTTATTTTCACTCTGATGGAACAGTTTCCGTGTCACTCTTCTGCAGTAGGCCTTGATACATTACCTAGATACTTAAACTAAATAGCAGTGTCTCCTGAATCAAGTGCTGCTAGAGAGGTGAAGTGTTCATTTCATGCCTCCATAGGCTCTTTGTGCCCCTTGGGGCAGACTCTTGGCTACTGTTAACAGGTATTCTCCATTGCTGTGAAAGGAACCAAGCCATTTTTACCCCCTCTGCGGATCTGGTTGCATCCGTTTGTCTCAGTTGATCCACAGTGTGAACAGAGCTGTTCTGGAGACCAGCAAACCAGTTGTCCCTAAGGGCAAGGGGAGGCAGTAAGCAGTGTAGCTAGGGTGCTGAAGGAAGAGTCCATCCTGGGATAACCAGTGAGCTGACAGCCTCAAGTGTTGGGCAAGTTTTGAGTTGGCGAAGCCAGGTAATTAGAACTTCATTGTTGTTCACAGACTAAAATCCCTTAGTCTGGGCCTTCCAGTGAGGTCTGGTGAAGTGCTGTTGTGAACATCAGGGCTCACACAGTGCTCGTCTGGAACCTGTGCAGTACGTTTTGCCCTGGGCATGTGTTCATTATGAGTGTCCTTTGCATCAAAGAAAATCCTGCATCTGAGGAGGGATTTCCCTGACCAAGTGTTGGATCTTGCATTAGTCACTTGGATGGATCTGGCCCAACCTGTGGATATGTGACATGGTAAATGGTGCACTGCCTGCATGTGGATCAAGCAGATTCTACTTGGAGTAGTTTTACCTCTGCACTGTGTAGGTAACCTTCTAGTGATCGGAGGGCATTAGAAAACCCCAGTTTTAGGTGAAACACCACAGGGTGGTGTTTATTTACAGAATATGCAAGCTGAGACTGCTGTAACTGAATGTAAGCACTCTGGAAATACTCTGCTTTGCTGATGTGATTGTCTTAAAGTACAGCAAACGAACCAAAATAAGTAAAACTGGTCCAATGGCTTAACTGTCTTTGAACCTTTCTTAAATGCTTGCAGTGGCTGAGACTTGATGGTGTTTCTTGCGCTTGGAGCTCTAATGAAGAGGAATTATTTTCTCCATTGATTTTTCAATCTGTTAGAGAGAATAATTCCCTTTTTGGTCCCTTTGTAGAGTGGCTGGGAGCATAAATACCTGCTCACTTCTCAGAGCCCTCTAGGCTAAGACCAAGGCTTGTTCCATCAGGGAAAGCTGTTCCGACAAGGTTCTTGAGCAGAAAGCCTGCTGAATTGTGAAGCTCCGTTCATGTGCTCCTTGGGCCCATCTGCATTGCTGAAAGTGTTCTGGACAAACCATTGTCTTTGCTTCTAAAACCCAGAGATACTGATGATGTCAGTCATGTGAGACTTAAAAATGTGAAGTTTGTAGCTTTAACTTTTTTTGTAACAAAGAAATTAGCAACACTGGCATAAAGTGCTGACTTGAAATGCTATTTTGTAAGATCTGGCTGTTTGTATATAATAGTGTTGGGTCATTAGTTTGTATATGTATGAAACAGTAACTTTTATTGCATTCCTCTGAGTTTGATACAGGAGATTTTGTTTGATCTTTCTCACATACCTTGCCTTATTTGTTCTAAGGTGCAAATAAACACTCTTTACCTGAAAACATCAGTGTGGTGACTCATATTTATGCATTAAACCACTCTGGTGTATTATTGCTTATGAGGACAAGTTTTAACATGGCATGCCTCTGGTCAGCCTGTGGTATACAAAGTTCTGTAGGAGCACACAATTAGTAAACCTGTCAGATACACGTTTTTATACAGGCAGCTCTTTGGCCTTAGAACGTTGCTGATTCTGCACCTCAAGAGGAATCCCAGACTGGTTTGTGTTGGAAGGGACCTTAAAGCTCATTAAGCTCCAACCCCTGCCATGGGCAGGGACACCTTCCACTAGAGCAGCTTGCTCCAAGCCCCTGTGTCCAACCTGGCCTTGAACACTGCCAGGGATGGGGCAGCCACAGCTTCTCTGGGCACCCTGTGCCAGTGCCTCAGCACCCTCACAGGGAAGAGCTTCTGCCTAAGAGCTCATCTCAGTCTCCCCTCTGGCAGGTTAAAGCCATTCCCCTTGTCCTGTCCCTACAGACCCTTGTCCCAAGCCCCCCTCCAGGTTTCCTGCAGCCCCTTTAGGCACTGGAGCTGCTCTGAGGTCTTCCCTGGGCCTTCTCCAGGCTGCCCCAGCCCAGCTCTCTCAGCTTGGCTGAGAGAGCCCTGAGCTGCTCCAGCCCCCCAGTGTGAGAGCTTTGCTCCAGTTCAGGGGCAGGCTCGTGTGCTGCCGGCTCCATGGCACTTCACCAGGACACATTGTGGACAGTTTCCCTGCAGCCAGAAGCATTCTCAGCCCTTCCTGGAGCTGCAGACGCAGGAGGTTCGTTTGCCCCAGAGAGTGCCCAGCAGACAGGCACGATGAGCTCTGCCGTGGCTGTGTGCTGTCTCTGCTCTGTCACTTCACACTGCAGCAACCTCGCCGCGCCTGCAGTCGGGTTTGGGACTGGGTACGTGTGAGTTTATCAGCCTCCCTTCGCACCAGGTGAGGCTGGAGGCTCACACTCCGTACCCTCGCTGACTGGCTGCGCTTTCAGCTTTCTAGCTCAGACAAAGATGAAGCTGACAGTGAGTGGGAGCTGCCTTCCATGGAGAACTGCTGGGTTCTACGTGGTTTCCCTGAGCCGTTACTAAATCTGTCCTGGAGGGATGACTAACCGAAGCCGAGATCCAGAATTCATTCAGGAGTCAGCCTTGGTTTAGCAATCCCGGAAGAAACAAAATAGATGTGAGCTTTTAAATGTTAGAGGAAGGAGCGTGGCAACCAAAGGGAGGGAGACTGCGGGCACCTCTAGTAACCGGGAAAGCCTGCAGAGGTTGCATTTCTCAGCAGCACCACAGGCTGCTGTGGAGCCCCAGCACGAAGGAAGGGCTGCCCTGCCAGCACTGCAGCCATACCAGGGGAGTGTTGCCCTGCACTCCCTTCATGCTGGAGTAGGGCACCTTCTTGCACAAGTGTTAGTCCCATACAAGTAACAAACCCAACACTGACAGGCAGCCATGAGCTGAGGCTGATGTTTAGCCAGTTTTTTCATCCCCGGGGTGGGGGGAAGTCAACTTTCCACGGAGCCTGTAGCACCAGCAGTTTTTCTCCTCCTCACATAATAATCATCAGTACTAAGGTCCGGGTATTGCTGTGCCAGTGTCCTTTATGCCCGGCTACTCTTTCCTACACCCTCCTTTTGTCCCATTTCCTCTTGTCCACAGGCCAAAAGAGTCTGAGCACGTGCTTTAGAGAAATGCTTTGAGTGCTGGCTGACAGCCCTGACCTGAGAGCGGGCAACTTTTCATTGCATTTATCACCTTGGCAAAGCTCTGAAGAATCAAACCAGGGAATACCCATGGGCTCTTTCCACACTGGAAGTGATTTAATTGCCTTTTAAATTTAAGAGACAATACAGGAATTACAAGTAGTGCTCATTCAATGCGGACCTGCTCAAGCACTGACTTTTGACCCCCTGAACTCTGCTGAGATCAAGATCCTGTGGGCAGGGGACATCCCAGAAACGCTGCCATTGAGGAGTCTTCCCTCCCTACGGAACCATCCCTTTAAAATCTCCCAGTTTTCCCATACCCAGCTGAGCGCACAGCCTGTGCTCAGGGTCGTCACAGATTGGGAAGCTGGCAAGGGAAAAGAAGTTTTAAACCAAAGTAATGATGTTTACTTTGTCTCTTTGTGCAGAGGTGTCTAATTCTCCACTGCACAAAAGAGCTTAATAAGGTCACTCCTCATTGACCATTCCCAGGAGGCAAAATTCCCTCTTTCATCAATCGCTTTGTGATTGTGGGGAGCAGCTTCTGTAGAAATAACCTGATGAAAGCGGGTAATTGATTTACCCACTGTGCCAAGTGAAAACGCAGCCACTCTCGGGAAAACTGATTAGGAATTAGCAAAAGAACATGAATTTCCTACTTGCCTTAGAAATAGCAAGTCAGACCAGTCCTGGCAAGCCATCGCTGCGCAGAAGTGCCTTCCTAACGCGAACGTGGGCTGTGATCACCCACTCCTCTGCTGCTGGGCACCTTCCTGCACCCAGTTCTTCCCTGCTCTGCAGAGCTCGAGCTCTGCTAGATCTGCCTGCAGAGCAGTGGGAGGATTTTCCTGGTGCAGTTACTCAGAGCCATTCAAATCCTGATGTCTTCACCGAGAGCAGGAGCCTAAAAAAAGAAAACATCTTCCATGGCTTTCCCAAACCCGAGCTTGGAGCTCTCACACAGCAGTCCCTTCCAAGGGCAGCCCGGGGGCTCGTGGGATGTCCTTCAATGCCTTGCTTTGAACCCCCACGTTAGGGAAGCTTTTGCCTTGGAAAGATTAGCAGCAGGTGGGGCTTTGGGGTTTTTTTAATGGAAAAACCCTCAAAAGGAATAAAGATTAAACTCTGTTTTCAGCCTTCCCCTCCTATCACATCTAGCAGAGGAATGTGCTTGGCACAGGAAGAGCAGCAGTTAAGTCTTCCCCTGCCCAGCCACCCCCCTGCTGACACACAGCCCAGAAACACCCTCCCATTTCAGAGCATCGGAGAGGCTGCATCAGGAGCCAGTTCAACTTTCTCTGCTGCCTTCAGGATGAAGGAGGATAAAGCCAAAGGGGCACAAACTACACCCCCTGAAACAGTGGAGAACCAGCTCCCAGAGAGCAGCCACCCCCTTGCAGACGCTGCACATGCCGGTGGGATATCTGCTCTCTGCAGAGAGCTGGTGCTGGGCTTGCTCATCCTATGAGAGATGCTCAGCCTCTGCTCCAAAGGCTTAAAACCCCCTGCAGGTGCCAAGGCCTTTCTTCCTTAGGCAGCCTGG